ATTAATTAGTGCAACCACCCATGAAAAGTTGGGTTTGGAACAGCATTCTTTGCCCTGTGTGAAACAGCAACCCTAATAAACAATTGTTAACTTGGCCTATTGCCTCTGGTAAATTACACAGCATTAAAAAATAATGCTTTTCATATTAGGCAGTAATTAAAGGTTGGGACAGCTTTAAAACAAGAGGGGGAGGGGGGGAATCAAAGAAAATATAAAAATGTTCTTTCAAGAGTTATGGGAGGCTAATAAAGTATGTCTGTTATAGTGCACCACTTTGCCCCCAGCTACAGCCAAACTGGAGCCACTGCAATTGCCTCTCAATAAGATAATGATATTCCTTTCTCTGCTATTAAAAGGCTCCCAGTGCAAACTTAAAATGATTTATTTAATTTAAGAAATTATGAGGTGTAACTTCAAAGCGTAAGCCGTTAGTAATGGAAAACACCAGGTTGTTTAAAATTATAATAATAATTGTTTGGAATACAGTGACATCAAAGTGCTTTCATCACCAAATAAAATATAGCACAGACCCCCAAATCCAGTGGAGTTTATTGAGTAGACATTTTTTGGTGTGTTTTTATTATTTCCTTATCAAGAGACATTATTTTAGCAGCTCCTTTTCTCAGCTTTGATGTTTTGACAGTCTTAAATTAATTTTATTGCATTTTTTTGGCTCGGAGATGGGAGATTATTCTGACTGCTTATTTTTCATTATGACTTTTTTGTTTTCAGGAACCGGTTTGTTATTTAACACAGCACCTTGATAAGCGCAGTTGAAATGAATTGGCCATTACAGGTCATTAAAAAGCAAAGAATTTTGTTTTCAAGCAATCCATTACACGTCTGGGAAAATATTCCTACTTAAAACAAACTTTTGAGTTAAACGCTAGCATAATCAGTTTAATAAAACGGGTAGCGCATACTTTTAAGGAACGTGGTTTTTTTTCTTTACGAGATTCTTGCTTATTCAAAACACAGCAATCTAAGAAATACATATACAAAACATTATGCCAAAAAAGACCTGCCTTTACAGTAAGAATATCACAGAATGTTTTTAATTTCCTTGAACAGTGTTATAAAATGTTAATCACACAAACGTTGCTTGAGACTTTTTCTTCCCAAGCAAAGCAGAATTATTCCAGTCCCCTTTAAAAATGGTAGCGTTTTAAAATATACTGCAGTTGCAGCTTTATAGACCGGTATTTCCACTAAAACAGCAGGGACAGAATTGCTCTGGTGTTAAAAGACTGAAATATAATGGATGGAAAGATTTTTATTCCTTGCGTGCAACTAGTTGGGAACTGCTGGTAGCACCCGCCAAATGCCTTATGGATTACGGTGGGAAACACACATCGAGGGCTAAGGTAGTCAAACACAAACTAAAACAAAAAAGCTCAACGACAACAACAACAAAAAAAACCCAAAAAATCCCCTTCTCTTTCCCTGCGGCGGGGTCCGGCAGCGAAAAGGAGCGTGAACCGTGTAGCGGCTCGCTCCTGGGTTTCCCAATGCTGGGATGAGCTATGCAGTTTCCCTGAGATCCCTAATGCTTTTCACTGGAAAAATATGCCCCCTGCTCTACAATGGAAAAAAAAAATCGGAATAACCTCTTTGTTTTTATTTTGCGAGAGAGACTTCCTGCGCCAAGAATGTGGGCGCTGCCGAAAGTAGGTTAACTTCCAAAGTGACCCCCGGAAAAGGCATTTTGAAGTCTCCGTGGCTGATAGTGATAGTAGGAACGGGAGAAACACAGTCACACTGGAAGAATGCTGGGTTTTATTTGTTTGAGGGTTTTTTTTGTCCCGTTTAATGATTTTTTTTTTTTTTAATAGAGAGACCTACGTTAATCTTCGGGAATACGAAACGGGGGATGAATAGAGAGGGTAAATATACTCTGAAGAAAGCGAAATGCTCATTTCCCTCTCTGACCCACCGGCGGGGGCGGTGGGAGCTGGATCCACCATGGCTGCTCCGCGGACCCTCTCGCTCCTTGTGCACCCGCGGAAGAGTGCATGGCTTGGAGCCCCTTCCTCAAGGACGAAGGGCCGGAGATGCTGGCATTTGCTGGCCGGATGGGTCGTTCTGTGTCATCCACCCTCTCCGCGAGCTTCTCTCCTCCTGCAGTGCATGTCCAGCACTGACCCCAAAAATCCTGCAAAGCCCCAGGTGTGCGCAAATGGGGCGTTCGGGTGCCTGCGGTTACCTGTGTGACGAGACGCACAGGCACTGTGTGGAGATATGGGGCGTACAGCTCACCGCTATGGAGATGTGTGCGCGCACAGACACGCGGGTCCCCGCACGGTGTGCGAATGCGTGTAAAAATGTGCATATAAATCCCCGGTGCGGTGGTGGCCGCGCCAGAGAGCCCGCACAGGGGCCAGGAGTCGGGATGCTCCAAGGCTCCGCTCGCCGCCCAGCGCTGCCTGCTCTGGGGGGTACCTGAGTCCCCGCACCCCCGCGCTGGGGCTGCGGGTCAGGTGTCCCCTCCTGCGCGAAGCCCCCGGAGACGGTCCCGGGAGCCGGTGCCCAGCCGGGAGCGGCCCCATCACCGCCGGTACGGCCCGCGGGGCCCGGGGTGCCCTGGGGTTTCTGTCCCCAGAGCTGGGTGCCCGCTGACCCCGGCCCCGCAGCGAGGGTCCGGTGGAGAGAGAGAAACCCCCGAGCTCCTGGGAGCGCCGCTCGCAGCCAGCCCGTTTTTCCCCTTCCCCATAAAATGCAGGAATTCCGGGGTTGGACAAGGCAGCGTGACAACATGAAATGCAGGCTCGGAGCAACCGTGGCTTTAGGTAATGAACGCTTGGCCGTAGCGAGCCAGAAAGCCCAATCTCAAATATTTATGTCAACAAATCCATCCCTGGTGATGAAGGTCCCGGGAGAGCCGCTCTGTGACCGGCTGGCCTGAGCTGCCGCTCAGCAAGTCCGGATTTTAAGGATCGGGATAATTTATCGCGTTGTTTTTAATGTTTATTATTTATTGCTCTAATTATTTTTCACTTTCTATTGGGAATTTAAAATATATAGATGTACCTGGAACAGATGCCAACTCCTTTCAGTCTCACTCAACTTCTAATCATCGCATCTGCTTTGTGTCAGAAAATACTTTGGGAACAATTTAACTTTGCATTAAAATAACTAATTAAAGCCACACCTCCACAGCCTCTTGCGAAAGTGGGGGGAGGAATTTCAGTAAGTGCATCGCTTTTAATGATAGCATTCTGATTTCCCTGCCTTGCTGTAATTTATTCAGTTACAGATCTGCCTGCGGGGCAGCTCCCATTAGGCCGATGATGAAGTCTCATGAGTAAAGCTTGACACCTCCCTCCTAATAAAATATAATACTCAATTAACTCGGCCTTTCTGAAGGCTTTAATTGGAACAAGTTAATAATGGGCGCAGGGTGAATTGTCATGCCATCCGCAAGCTCAGAGAAGGTGTCACGGATCTGCCTTTCCCATAGCAGAGGTTGTAACCGAGATTTGGAAGCTTTTCCTTCAACACCCTTGTGTGCTGCAATAAATCTGTATCCATTTAAGGATCTATCATAACACACACAAAGCTCCTGCGCTCAAAGAATTTCCAGCGAAAAGATTTAGCTGTAATCCCTGACACAGCTGATTTATACTGAAGGTTAGAAAATACCGCTGGTTTATTTATAGCCCGGCCCAGCTAAGGAAGCACTCGGGACAAGCGGTCGGGGAAGGACAAGGGAGAGGGGCTTTGCCTTGCCCTGTATTTAGGGGGATGATGCTTCAGGGAAAAGGAATCCAAGAAAGAAGCAGTTGTCTCCGATTTTTAGGCGGCAGTAAATGTTAATTTGAGGAGTCTTCGTGGATATTAGGTTCCCCCATCAGTTGCGAAGCGGGAAGGTTAACAGGGGTTTTTCTTGGAGTCGGGAGCGGGGTGAGCAGGGCGAGCTCCGCGATGCTCTGCGCTCCCCGAGCCGCTCCCCCGGCCCGCAGCCCCCTTCCCAGAGCCCAGATCGGGGGGTGTTTCCCTGCCTCGAGGTTTCCTTCTCGCCCAGCATCGTCCCGATCCAGCGGGATGCTGAGCTCGGGAGCGCGATGCCCTCGGGAGCTACTGGAGCAGGGAAAGCGCACCTGGGTCCCAGTAAGGGCAAACACACCTTGTCCCCACAGCGGGAACGCCAAGGGTTACTTACGTTGGGCCAGCATAGGATTTGGGTGTAACAGGGCCCCCCTGACCTCTCGGATACTCCTCTTATCTGAGCAGACCTGAGATCCCCTCGCCAGAAAGGTTCAGCACCTGCTCTCCGAGCCTGGCCCGAAAACTATGGGTCAGTGCCGACAGCACATGAGCACCCTGAAATGCAACTGAACTGAAGTACTGCAGGGCTCTTGGCAGGGTTTAGCTGCTCCAAATTACCTCCTAGCTACTGTGGGGGCCAAGACTATTCTCCCACTAGAGCCCAGAGATGAGGTCAATGGAAAGGTGAGCCGGAGAAAGAGTCCCAAGCCAAAGAGGAAGGCACACGAGCTAAGAGAAGTGATGGAGACATCACCGGAGTATGATGTTGTAAAGAACAGAGGCGCCTAAAAGTGGTTGTTAAAAAGAAGGAAACCTCATAAAAGGTTTGGCTTTCGACTTCAAATTGTTGACGTGCAATTCACCTTCATGTGCTGCAAATTTGGCTTTAATTCAGATTCAGAAACGGGAAATAATCATAAAGGCAACCCAAACATTCCTTTGAACTTGACCCAGCGGTGCAAAACACACACGGAGAGAAGTTACCTTTTAAAGGACTCCAAACACTAAAAGACCCACACGCGATTAAACATGTTTTTTCTTTTTTAATTTAATTTGAAATAAGAGATAAGAAATAATAAATCTTCAATAAAATATATAAAATTGTACAAGGCAT